AGCCACTTTTAGGAGCCATTTCTTTTCTGATGAAAGGATCTGGAGCCCAGCTGGGTAGCGGACTCATGTTGGCATTCTCCTTGGGATCCTGGAAGGAATATTAGCGATCAGCTGGTCCTGCTCCCTTCTGAGGGCCGGAGAAAGATCTGGGTGGGCACCTGCCTTTAGCAAAACCCCTGACTCCCCAGCCACCCCTCCCAGTGAGGACGGGCAAGGTCTCCAGATGCCCTGCTCACCCTGGACACCGCCCAGCCTTGCTGGCTGGTCAGCAGGCAAGCTCTGCTGGCTGAGTGGGTTTCGGGACCGGCGAGAAGGCCTAGGGCTCACTCCACATTCTTCCTCCCCAGACCATAATGACTGGCGGTTAAGACAAAAGAAAACAGCAGGCTGTGAGCAGGAAGAAGCTGGGACTCCAGCCCCAGTTCTAGACAATACGGACGGTAAAGTGGAGGCCCCAGAGGAGAACAAGTAGTGCTTCCCCGTTAGCCTGGTTCTAAGCCTCTCTGTGCGGACACAGGAAAAACCACCGCGCCAGCACGGCGGGAGGCGCGTCACCTTCAGTTGCTCGTGAAAATCCTGTAGGACTCTGCAAGGTCGGAACTGCCAGTGTCCCCACTTTACAGACAGGAACACTGAGGCCCAGAGACACTCACTTGCGCAGAGTCATAAGGCTAAACGGGCAGCAGACCCTGGTGCCCAGCTCAGCTGTTTGGGATTCCAAAGCCTTCCTCTTAATAACCTTCCATAACTTCCGCATACTATTTATCCCACGGGTTCTGGTTTCCTCTGGCTGCTGTAACAAACTACCTCACACCTGCTGGCTTAACAACAAACATTCTCTCGCCGTCCTAGAGGCCCTAAGAATGAAATCAAGGCATTGGCAGGGGCGCCCTCCCTCCGGAGGCTCCAGGAAAGCTGCCTTCCCTGCCTCTCCCGCTCCTGGGCTGCCCCATGCCCTGGCTTCTGGCTGCATCCCTCCGACCTCTGCCCAGGCCACTCTGCCTCCTCTCCTGCTCTGCTTCCCCCCTAGGAGGTTTCTGTGGCCGCACCGAGAGCCCCTCAGCTCCCCCCAGACTCCCTTTCCAATCGAGGGACGTTCGCAGGGCCCGTGGGTTAGGATGTGGGTACTGTTTGGGGCCATCTTTCAGCCCACCACACCATATCTGCCCATTCCCCCTTCCATGTATCCTTTCTTTTTTTTCTTTTTTTAATATATTTTATTGATCTTTTTACAGAGAGGAAGGGAGAGAGATAGAGAGCTAGAAACGTCGATGAGAGAGTAACATCGACCAGCTGCCTCCTGCACACCCCCTACTGGGGATGTGCCCGCAATCAATGTACATGCCCCTGACCGGAATCGAACCTGGAACCTTTCAGTCCGCAGACCGACGCTCCACCACTGAGCCAAACCGGTTTCGGCTCCATGTATCCTTTCACACTCCTTGACTATCTATGTGCACTGGGCATTGTGCTCGGAGCTGGGAACTAAAAAATCAAAAGAAAAATGACACAGTCGTCCCTGCCCTCTGGGACCTCTCATGCCTCCTTCCCAGTTGCGCTTGATAAAAAGCAGGAGTAAGCGATGCCAGGACAGTGCAATCGCCGGAACTCACTGCGTGTGGCCCTGATCTGGCCAGCTGCTACACACACTTACACACCTCCACTCACCTGACGCTCACCGCAGCCTTCCCCCCCTGTGCAGGGTGGCCCCACACAGTCTGTACTTGACACCCCTCTGCACAGAACGCGAAAGGAGCACAGGGAGAGGCAGCAGGCAGGGAGAGTGTGGTCAGGGAAGGCTTCCTGCAGGAGGCGCCACTTCCTCCGAACCTGGAAGGACAGGAGTTGGCCAGAGGAAGAGGGATGAGGGAGGGTGCGGGAGTGAGAAGGTACCCCAAGCAGAAGAGGCCTAAGCCGGCAGATGGGTCCTCAGCAAGGGATCTAGCCTTGAGAACGGGCCAGAACCCAGCCGCTGCTCCCTGTGTTTCTCAGATGTGCCAGTTGAGGCTGTGCAGCTGTGGGAGATGCCCTGGAGAAAGCGGGGGGGAGGGAGGCTCCCGCCTTCTTGCTCACCCCTCCCCTAGAAGCAACCCCTCCACCCCCAGGTTCCCGGGGTGCAGCTGGGCCCTCCTGTGGCTGTTCTTTTGTCTTCTCTGTTGGAGCTCTCAGGCCACGGAGCTGGGAGCCCTGGGGATCTGGACCCGGCCCGCCTCTAACCCCCTGGGAACTTGGAAACTGCACCAGCTCAGAGGGTCCTCCTAAGCGCTGAGCGGCCCCCCTGGCTCCCACGGCCTGGACCCTCAGCACAGATCACGTGATGTCACGACTGCCAGCTGTGGGCTCAGCAAGGCTGGGCTGCTCTCCTCTCTCTGTCCCGGGCACTCAGCAAGGACAGTGACAACCAGGAGAGTGCCTGTGAGGCCAGCAAACAGGACCTGCCCACGCCCACATCTGGCTGGGGAGATAGGCAGCCCGGCAGAGAGAAAACTGAGAAAACTGCCGAGAGGAAGCTGGCAGGAGGGCCAGGCTCAGGCAGGCAGGGCTCCCTGAGGAGGGGCTGTGTGAATCTGACCGAGCTTCTTTGGGGAGAACCCCACACCTGGTGTGGGCTAAGGGCTAGGTTCACCTGGCATTTGTTCTTCCTCAGATCCAAGGCGCCCACCCACCTCTGCCAACTAATGGGGGAATTAGGTCTCCCAGCTCCCCTGATCCCCCATTTTGGGGAATTTGAGAGCCAACTCAGCAGCTCCCAACAGAGGGTAGCCCCAGCTCCTGCCCATCTCCTTGCTGAGCTGAGCCTCTTGGATGAGAGATACAGGCCTGAGCTGCTGTGCGGGGATGAATGGGAGGGACCCGGGTCAGGCCGCGGCCCCAGCTCCCACCCCCTGCCTCCAGCCTCTTCCGTTCCCCTGCTGCCCCTGGCTCTCTGCCTGCACGGCCTCCATGCCATAGGGCGGGAGCAAGGGGGAGTAATGCCCACATGGGCTCTAGCCCACTCACCCCTCGGAGAGCGACTGCGCTTGCCCTCTTTGTACAGATGGGAAAACTCGTTTCTTCTGAGGAGCATCCCGCTGGCTGAGAAAGCCACACTCTTTCCAAAAGCCCTCCCCCCAGGCCTCCCCTTTCCCACCCTCCCATATCTCAGACTCACCAGTCCTCACACTCAGAGCTCTCTCTTCGCTGCCGCTGAGGGTGCTCCTGTAGAAGTTCAAGTGTCAAGGGCGAAAGGGCAGCTAAAGGTGAAGTTCATCCCTGGAGCTCCGCCTGGGAGCCTGGCACCCCTCAGAGGTGGGATGTGGTGGCTGCCGCACAGGAAGTGTCTGGGGTTGAGCAGGAGACCACAGAGGTGGAACCGGAGGCCCGAGAGGGGAGGCCACCCAGCAGACCTGGGCCCGGACTCCCCTGGAACCCATGAGTCCCTGCACTGCCCCTGAAAATGACGAGGAAGAGCCATCTTCTCTGGGCTTCCTTCCTCCGGACCCTCTCCTGGCTGGAGGTCAGGGACAGGAAGGTGATTAAGACACATCCTGCCCTGGAGGGTTTCCCAGCATGGCTGGGGAGATGGGCACCCCACCAGAGAATGATAAAACTAAGTAGGAGCCGAAACCAGTTAGGTCCCAGTTTGAGTCCGGTCAGGGGCATGTACACTGGTTGTGAGAGGCAGCTGGTCGATGTTTCTCTCTCATCGATGTTTCTAGCTCTCTATCCTTCTCCCTTCCTCTCTGTAAAAAATCAATAAAATATATCTAAAACAAAACAAAACTAAGTAGGAATCTGGAGGAAGGCACCAGAACTCGGCCGAATGGGGAAGGTGGGATGGCATCAGGAAGGCTTCCTGGAGGAGGAAACCTTGAGCTGGAAAGCATAGGGGGGGGGGGGGGGCTCAGTGGAAGCCCTTTTGGGGGTTGAGGGCAGCGGGTACCACAAGGGTCTGGCATGCTGAGCAACCAGGTACATGCCCAGGTAGAAGGAGAGAGAGCCAGGCCAGGTCCTGGAGGCCCCGCAGGCGGGGCTGGTGTCACCATGAGCAGCTCTGAGAACGGCTCCGCTGAGGCTCCTGGGAGGACGCTAAGGTCCAGGCCTGGATGCTGCCAGTCCTTAGGCTCTGAGCTGTTAGGGAGGCCTGTGGGGTCCCAGGCCTGCAGACTGACCCCAGGGAGGCCTGTGGGGACCCAGGCCTGCAGACTGACCCCAGGGAGGCCTGTGGGGACCCAGGCCTGCAGACTGACCCCAGGGAGGCCTGTGGGGACCCAGGCCTGCAGACTGACCCCAGGGAGGCCTGTGGGGTCCCAGGCCTGCAGACTGACCCCAGGGAGGCCTGTGGGGACCCAGGCCTGCAGACTGATCTTTCCATGGCAGCACAGAGAAAGCTAAGGGTAGGGGGTCTAGATCCACCCAGATCTAGACTGAGTAGGAATCCTGGCCCTGCCTCTCCCGGCTGTGTGGCCTGGGGTAAGTAGTTCACCCTCTCTGGTCTCAGCTTCCTTGGAGGTGGCTGTCCCAATCCAACACGCTACTGTATGCAGCGCCTGGCACACACCGAGTGCTCCACGCCCCCAGAGGGGCCGAGATGGGCTGGCCTTGGGCAGGGAGCCTGCGGCCGGAGGGGCTGTCACTGAGCTCCCCGCGGAGGGCGGGGCCTGCGCAGCTCCGTCCCAGACACCTGTCACCCGCCTCTGGGTTTCCGGGGGAGGAGGCGAGCGCGGCTCCCCGAGGGAAACTGAGTCGGCAGCGGCGGCGGGTCTGGGCGGGAGCGGCGCGCCGGCCCGCGGCGGCTCCTTTTGTCTGCGGTCCCCGCGCCGCCGCCTCCCCTCCCGCCCCCCCCCCGCCCCCCCTGCCTCCCCCTCCCGTCTCCGCCTCCCCCCCCCGCCCCCCCCGCCTCCCCCCCCCCGCCTCCGCCTCCGCTCCCGCCCCGGCGGCCGGGCTGCGGCGCTCACACGCCGCCGGGCGGAGGGAGCTGCGCCGGCCCCGGGCGATGGCGGCGCGCGGCGGGCGGCGGGGCCCGGGCTGACCGCGGGCGGCGGGCGGATGGCGGGCGGCGCGGGCTGGGCGGGCGCCCCCGCGGCCCTGCTGCGCTCGGTGCGCCGCCTGCGCCAGGTGTTCGAGGTGTGCGGCCGCGACCCCGACGGCCTCCTGCGCGTGGAGCGCGTGGCGGCGCTCGGCCTGCGCTTCGGCCAGGGAGACGAGGTAAGGGGCCGCGCCCCAGCCCCGCTTCCCTTCCCTTCCCCCCGACCCGGCCCGCACCCCTCCATCCCCTCCCCGCTTCCCTTCCCTTCCCTTCCCCCCGACCCGGCCCGCACCCCTCCATCCCCTCCCCGCTCACCTTCCCCCAGCCCGGCCCGCACCCCTCCATCCCCTCCCCGCTCCCCTTCCCCCCCCCCCACCCGGCCCGCACCCCTCCATCCCCTCCCCGCTCCCCTTCCCCCCCCCACCCGGCCCGCACCCCTCCATCCCCTCCCCGCTTCCCTTCCCTTCCCTTCCCTTCCCCCCCGACCCGGCCCGCACCCCTCCATCCCCTCCCCGCTCCCCTTCCCCCCCCCACCCGGCCCGCACCCCTCCATCCCCTCCCCGCTTCCCTTCCCTTCCCTTCCCTTCCCCCCCCCACCCGGCCCGCACCCCTCCATCCCCTCCCCGCTTCCCTTCCCTTCCCTTCCCCCCGACCCGGCCCGCACCCCTCCATCCCCTCCCCGCTTCCCTTCCCTTCCCTTCCCCCCGACCCGGCCCGCACCCCTCCATCCCCTCCCCGCTCACCTTCCACCCGGCCCGCACCCCTCCATCCCCTCCCCGCTCCCCTCCCCCCCCCACCCGGCCCGCACCCCTCCATCCCCTCCCCGCTTCCCTTCCCTTCCCCCCCACCCCGACCCGGCCCGCACCCCTCCATCCCCTCCCCGCTTCCCTTCCCCCCCCACCCGGCCCGCACCCCTCCATCCCCTCCCCGCTTCCCTTCCCCCCCCACCCGGCCCGCACCCCTCCATCCCCTCCCCGCTCCCCTTCCCCCCCCACCCGGCCCGCACCCCTCCATCCCCTCCCCGCTCCCCTTCCCCCCCCACCCGGCCCGCACCCCTTCATCCCCTCCCCGCTTCCCTTCCCTTCCCCCCCCGCCCCCGACCCGACCCGCACCCCTCCATCCCCTCCACCTCCGTCCCCTCCCCCGCTGCCCCGCTGCTCCTGCGGCCAGCCTGCCCGCCTGCCCCGGGCACCCTCGCCTCCACCCTCGGCGCCAGAGCGGCGAGCACCATGCCCAGGGCATCCTCTCTGCCCGTCTTCCTGCCCCGCAGGGCCGGCCCCTCTGGCCGACCCGCACCCCGCTGAGGTTCGGGGCGCGGAGCTGCCAGAACCGGGCCTGGGAGCCCGGCCCTGCCGCCCCGCGTGGCTGAGACGCAGCGGTCTGCGCGAGGGGTTCGGGGTTCCAGGCGGGGGCGGGGGGAAGCAGGGGCCCAGCCGCGGCGAGAGGACAGCTGGGGGCGCCCCGCGGCCTGCCTCCTGGAGGGCACCCCTGCCTGGATCACGGGAGGGGGTGTCTGCGTGGACCCCGTTCAGGCTCCGGTGGAGGCCCGGGCTGTGTGGCTGGGGCTGCGGCGGCCCGCGGAGGCGGCCTCGGTATTTGCCGGGGGCCTGTGTCTATTCGGGGAAAGCGGGGGAGATGCTGGTTGTCATTGGGGCTGAAGTCAGAGGGTGGGCGCTGCTCCGTTCCCTCCGTGTCCTCTCATGCGGGCACAGGAGCTGGTGACGATGGCTAGGGGAGGGGGGGAAGGGCAGGACCCCCGCCTGGCACTGAGACTCCCCACCTCCTGCAGCCGGGCATTCGGAGACAACCAGGGGGCAGAGGCCAGAGCGGCGGGTTCCCAAGGCCTCGGGCTGTGCGTGGGGAGCAGGGGGCCACGGGCCTCAAAGGGGCGCTGGCTGGCGCTCCGTGCCCAGGACAGCTCCTGCCTGGCATTTCAGAATACAGGATACCCAGGGCATGGCTCCATGGGGGCCCGTCTCCCTGCCACCTGCAGGTGGGATGACAGGTCATCGCTCCCAGGCACCTGGGTGTGGCCGGGACCTGGGAGTGCCCGGGAGCAGTGGGTGGAAGTGGATGAGGCAGGTGTCAAGTCTGAGAACTCAGGTAGCCCATTCCCAGTGGGGTTCCGTCGCAGCCCACCCAGCCTTCTGGTGGCAGACGTTGCCCGCCCGCCCTCCTGCTCCTCAGGGCTTTGCTCAGGGGCGCTTTTTGCAGCCACCAGGGTCTTCTCCCTCCACAAAGGCTGGCCAACCTCCCCTGAGGCAGGCTGAGCCGCCCCGGGGCACAGGGAGAGCCTGCTCCTTCCTCCCGGGATGCTGGCTGCTGGGAGATTTGTACCCTTCCAGCCCCCCGCAGGAGTCCATGTGGGCTCAGCCCTGAGCCCCCAGCACCTTGTGCCCTGGCTGCACCGTTCCCACCTTGTGCCCTGGCTGCACAGTTGTTAAAACCTTCGCCCTCACGCACGCTAGGGCAGTGGTTCTCAACCTTCCTAAGGCCGCGACCCGTTAACACAGTTCCTCATGTTGTGGTGACCCCTCCCCCCGCCATAAAATTATTTTTGTTGCTGCTTTCCTAACTGTAATTTTGCTACTGTTAATGAATTGTAATGTAAATATCTGTGTTTTCCGATGGTCTTAGGCTCTACAGCAGCGGCTCCATGGGTCACGACCCACAGGTTGAGAACCGCTAGCAAGCTCGCCACAACACGAGGAACCGTATTAAAGGGTCACGGCGTTAGGAAGGTTGAGAACCACTGCTCTGGAGCCAAATCTGCTGGTCACGTAGTCATCGAGGTTCTGCACAGGGACTCACACGGGGCTGTCTCCTACGTGGCGGCCTTTAAATATTTGAAAATAGTGCTCCTGCCCCCTTCCCTCCTCCCTACCCATCTTCCCTTCTCCAAGCCAAATAGCCCCTCTTCCTGAAGCCCTAAGACCTTCCCACATGACCCCACAGGGGCCGAACCCCTGGCTGCTGCTCACTAATGGCGTGATTCCGAGTTATAGCACGGAGGGGCTGGCCAGGAGACCCCATGGGGCCGTTGCAGCCCAGCACTCACGCAGGCAGGTGGCTCAGAGGGAGGCCGCCTTTGGAATGGCCACCACACTTTCTACGCCCACGGCTGTTTCTTAGGAACCTCTGCCGAGCCAGGATTCCCTCCATCCTGGAGGAGGGCCGGCGATTGCTTTCTACTTAAAGCACAGTCTTACAGCCTTGCAGAAGCAGTTTATAACCACTGTAGAAAATTAGGAATATGGAGACCGGCCGGGGTTGCTCAGTGGTTGAGCATCGAGCTATGAACCAGGAGGTCACGGTTCGATTCCCAGTTAGGGCACATGCCTGGGTTGTGGGCTTGATCCCCAGGGTGAGACATGCAGGAGGAGGCAGCCGATCCATGATTCTCATCATTGATATTTCTCTCTCTCCCTTTCCCTTTCTCTCTGAAGTTAATTATATATATATATAAAGAAAAGAAATATGGCCCTAACTGGTTTGGCTCAGTGGATAGAGCATTGGCCTGCAGACTCAAGGGTCCCAGGTTCGATTCTGGTCAAGGGCATGTACCTTGGTTGCGGGCACATCCCCAGTAGGGGGTGTGCAAGAGGCAGCTGATCAATGTTTCTCTCTCATCAGTCTTTCTAACTCTCTGTAAAAAATCTCCTTTCCTCTCTGTAAAAAATCAATAAAATATATTTTTTTAAAAGAAAAGGAAAGAAATATGCACAAGCAAAAATAAAGATATCATGTTCCCATCTCCCAGGGAGCCCCACTGTGACACCTTGGTCATGTGCTTCCAGAGCTGTTTCTATGGGTATATGTAGATTTTCTCTAGAAAATGAGATCATTCTCTGCATACTGTTTTGCAGCCTGATTTTCCTCCAGTTAAATGATTAGCATTTTTCTGCTTCAATAAATTCTCAGCTTATTTAATATGCAGACCTTATTCACATTTCCCAGTTGGCCCCAAAATGTCAATTTTTTCCTGTTTTGTTTAAATTAATTTTCTCTCCAGATTCTTGTAACTGTGTAGTGCCAGTTGTTGTGACCCTTAAGTCTCTCTTACTCGAATGCAGTTCTTTTTGTTTTTCAACGCTCCCTGTTGAAGAGATCAGGCCTGTTGTCTGTGTCAATGATTTCTTGAATCTAAACCTGTTCCTTGGCCCTGTTCCTACCCAGTTCCATCTTGTTCATGTCATTCCATTGTGACAGACATGAGAGAGAGAGTTTCAGATCCTCACTCTGTCTCTCTCGGAGGCTGCGCTGCCCGCAGGTTGGAGAAGCTGGGCTTTCTGTGGGGATCCACGCGGCTGATGGTAAACACAGGGCAGGACCACGGACAAGGCCTTGCAGGGGCGGTTCTGCTCTCGCTGCATGGTGTACTGAGACCCACAGAAATACATTTTCCATCCCTCCTCACCGCACATACAAAGTAGGATTGTCGTTTCCCTGCGGGCAGGGATCCTTTCAAAATGCTGTGTGTCCCACGGTTTCTATTTTGTTTGTTTACCAGCGAGGTAGAGACCTGGCTGGTGTGGCTTAGTTGGTTGGAGCGTTGTCTTATACACCGAAAGGTTAGGATGCATAAGCAGGGAACATGCAGAAGGCAGCCCACCAGTGTTTCTTTCTCTCATACGCTCTCTGTCCCTGTTTCTCTCCCTCGATCGCTTCCTCTCTCTAAAAATTAATAAAATTTATTTTAAAAATAAAAAACAGGTAGAGACCTTGATTTCCCAACCCACTAGTGTCCCAGGGTGGACAGCTATCATTCGTTAGATATAGCACTTAGTGAATACCAATTATCCATTTTTACCAACAACCCCCGGGAAAACAGGGAGAGCAGAGTCAAATGCTTTGCAAAAATCAAAATACACTAGGTTTCAAAGTATACAATAAATATTCATGAGGCCATGCTGATAGAAATAAGTGATCCCCTGAATGAATAAATGAGTACTAGGAAACTCTCCTGTACAGAAATAATTCAAATAATTTCCGTCGATCATTCCTCATCAAGGAGGGGAGCTGTGAAGGTGACTGCTCCCGCAGGGCACAGGGTGTGCGGGCGGGGGGGGGGGGGGGGGGGCTTCACGGAGGAGAAGCAGAGGAGCTCTCCTTACCAGGGGGTCAAGGTCAACCCCAGTAATAAGCCAGGCAGACATGGTGGGATGAGCATGGCACTTTC